GAGGGGCAGTCTCCCCCTAGCCAGAAAGGTTTTTTAAAATGTCAACACATCATAATAAGCAGAAAATGTAAAAATATTGATTTATTTTATTATTATTATTTTTTGAGATGGAGTTTCCCTCTTGTTGCCCAGGCTGGAGTGCAATGGCACAATCTCAGCTCACTGCAACCTCTGCCTCCTGGGTTCAAGCGATTTTCCTGCCTCAGCCTCCCAAGTAGCTGGGATTGCAGGCGCCTGCCACCACGCCCAGTTAATTTTTGTATTTTTAGTAGAGACAGGGGCTCGCCATGTTGGCCAGGCTGGTCTTGAACTCTTGACTTCGGGTGATCCACCTGCCTTGGCCTCCCAAACTGCTGGAATTACAGGCATGAGCCACCGCGCCCTGCCCAAAAATATTTATAATGCACAATGTGAACTGATTTAGTTTCTATAAGAATTTTATATTTTAAGGACAAACTTAAGTCTGTGATAGGTTATCCTATTTAGCAATTTTTAGTTTTACTTTTTATGTTTGAACCATTAATGAGTACAGTTAAATCAGGGTTATTTAAGATAGTCTCTAGATCAATCTTCTCCAACCCTTGGCCCATGGGTTGCGTGAGGCCTGGAACGGCTTTTTTTTTTTTTTTTTTGAGACGGAGTCTCGCTCTGTCACCCAGGCTGGAGTGCAGTGGCCGGATCTCAGCTCACTCCAAGCTCCGCCTCCCGGGTTCATGCCATTCTCCTGCCTCAGCCTCCCGAGTAGCTGGGACTACAGGCTCCCGCCACCTCGCCCGGCTAGTTTTTTGTATTTTTTTAGTAGAGACGGGGTTTCACCATGTTAGCCAGGATGGTCTCGATCTCCTGACCTCGTGATCCGCCCGTCTCAGTCTCCCAAAGTGCTGGGATTACAGGCTTGAGCCACCGCGCCCGGCCCTGGAACGGCTTTGAATGCGGCCCAACACAAATTCGTAAACTTTCTTAAAACATTATGAGATTTTTTTTTTTTTGCTTTTTTAAAAGCTCATCAGCTATCATTAGTGTTAGTGTATTTTATGTGTGGCCCGTGACAATTCTTCTTCCAGTGTGGCCCAGGGAATCCAAAAGATTGGACACCCCTGATCTAGAAGATCTGTCCAGGGCTCAGATACTCAGATAATCTCCTAAAAGAGGTAAGCCACCATGCAGTTTTACTTTTTCAGGTAAAAGAAGGAATATTTAATTACCATATTTTCTTTTCTTTTTTTTTTTTTGAGATGGGGTCTGGCTCTGTTGCCCAGGCTGGAGTGCAGTGGCGCAATCTCAGCTCACTTCATCCTCTGCCTTCAGGCTCAAGTGATTCTCATGTCTCAGCCTGCCGAGTAGCTGGGACCACAGGTGCATGCCACCTTGCCTGGCTAATTTTTTTGCATTTTTGGTAGAAATGGGGTTTCACCATGTTGCCCAGGCTGGTCTCGAACTCCTGAGACAAGTGATCCACCTGCCTCAGCCTCCCAAAGTGCTGGGATTACAGGCCTGAGACACAGCGCCTGGCCATATTCTCTTTATGTATGATTAACTTAAGAAGTTAAACTCTTTAGATTTGTAAAGTTTACTATTATCATTATTATCATCACCATTATTACTAAGTTTGGCAGAGAAAAGCTCTCAACAGTTTTTACTTAATAATTGGAGAAATTTGCTCTTATTGTCTTTTCTTTTGTAGGATTGAGGAACAAATCTTTGTGTTACTTAGAGCTGCTATAACAAAGTATCACAGAGTGGTGGCTTATAAACAACAGAAATTTATTTCTCACAGTGCTAGAGACTGAAAGTCCCAGATCAGGGTACCGGCTTGGTTGGAAGACAGGGTCTTGCTTTGTTGCTCTGGCTGGAGTGCAGTGTCAAGATCATGGCTCACTGCAGCCTCCACCTCCCGGGCCCAAGCAAGCGTCCCACCTCAGCCTCTCAAGTAGCTGGGACTACAGGTGTGTGCCACAATGGCTGGCTAACTTTTTTTTCTTTTTTTTTTTTTGTAGAGACAGGGTCTCCCTATATTGCCAAGGTTGGTATCCAACTCCTGGGCTCAAGGGAATCCTCCTGCCTCAACTTCCCAAAGTGCTGGGAATACATGCATGAGCCACTGCAACCAGCTGGTATGGTTGGTTATTGTTAGGACTCTCTTCCAGGTTGCATATTGCTGACTTCTTGTGTCACATGGCAGAAAGAGGGAGAGTGAGCTCTCTGGGAGTCCCTCTGATAAGTGACTAATCCCATTCGTGAGGTCTCCACCATCATGGCCTAACTGCCTCCCAATGGCTCCACCTCCTAATACCACCATGTTGGTGGTTCAGAGTTCAACATATGAATTTTGGGGAGACATAAACATTCAGTCTATTATTATTACCTGATGAACATTTTAGGAACCCAAAATATGATTTAGGTAGAAAAGACATCTTAAGTGTTTTATAATTTTGAATTTAGGTCATGAATTCAGGAAAGGCAAACTCAAGAATAATTTTTTTTTTTTTTTGAGACGGAGTCTCGCTCTGTCGCCCAGGCTGGAGTGCAGTGGCCAGATCTCAGCTCACTGCAAGCTCCGCCTCCCGGGTTCCCGCCATTCTCCTGCCTCAGCCTCCCGAGTAGCTGGGACCACAGGCGCCGCCACCTCGCCCGGCTAATTTTTTTTTGTGTTTTTAGTAGAGACGGGGTTTCACCGTGTTAGCCAGGATGGTCTCGATCTCCTGACCTTGTGATCCGCCCGTCTCGGCCTCCCAAAGTGCTGGGATTACAGGCTTGAGCCACCGCGCCCGGCCAAGAATAATTGTTAAAGGAGAAAAGGTGAAAGTCATAAATATCTAAAAACAAGAAATATTTACAGTCAATGATATAAAACCATGCCAGATTATACTAAGGCTAAAGCTGTAATTCGCCCCCCACCTCCTAATAAAAGCAAAAAGCAGTAGCAATCACTCATATTAGCCAGGAGAGGGCGATATTTGTTAATTTCTGTGGCTTGGACGTGTTTTGTCTGTGTTCACACATGATTATGCAGTGGTCCTCCTCTTTGTCTCACTTCATTACCATCACCGAGGGACCTTGCCGGATGTTGGTACTCTTTGAAATTGTTTATATTCACAGGAGAACAACAAAGTCTAGCTGTGAGTGCCACACCAGCTCCTACATGTCTGGGATTATTTTTCTCTTTCTCATCACTGTGATAGAAAAAATTGGTGATGCTGTTTTATTGATAATATGTGTTACATATATTTTAAGTATAAGCTGTCAAGCCTTACAAGGAGCCCCTTTTGTGAAATCTAATGAACATATCATGGTTTGTTTGTATTTTTTGGGAGGCGGGGTGGGGTGAGTATGTGCTGTCGAAATGAGCACAAACATATCATGGTGTTGAAACAGGATTTTAAGCCAGAGAGCAAACCCGGGTCAAATCTGGACAAGCAAAAATCTGTGGAATTTTGTTTTAACTTCTCTGGGCCTCATTAACTCCAGTCAAACTTGTAATAAACTAAAGCTAAAGCGTCACTTTCACATCGAGGACCTTGCTGACCATCACCTACCCACCCCACGCTCATTCCACCACTGTCAAAGTGTACCCTATCTGACTTTGTGCTCCTACCTGCTATACGCTTCCATCAAAACACTTTATTTCATGGTGTTTGTGTCCTACACTACTCTAGAACTCAAAGAAAATAACATGTCTCATTCATCTTATTCAGGCCTTAGACAAAAGCCTGGGCCAAGAAAGTACTCAATATTATTTAATTAATTAACTATTAATAAAACATGTTTTAACAGAAGACTTGACAGAAAATATGACTTTGAAAACTTCATCCACATGATGTACTTTCTTTGTTTTGTTTTTTAGACAGGATCTTGCTCTGGTGCTCAGGCTGGACTGCAGTGGCGTGATCATAGGCCAGTGCAGCCTTGAACTCCTAGGCTCAAGTGATCCTCTCTCCTCAGTCTCCCAAGTAGCTAGAACTACAGTTGTGCACCACCATGTCTGACTAATTAAAAAAAATTTTTTTAGAGATGGGATCTCACTGTGTTGCCTAGGTTGGTCTTGAACTCCGGGACTCAAGTAATCCTCCCACCTCAGCCTGCCAAAGCCCTGGGATCACATGTGTGAGCCACCATGCCCAGTCTACATGAGGAATGTTGACTAAAAAGTGACAAGAGAGGAAGAAGACTGAAGTTACAAGTTCTTCACTTAGGGACATTTTGCAAAACGAACGAAATCTGATAAATTCCTCATGAGTCACTACAAGCCACTATATCTGGTATTTAATGGTTTACTATAAAATTTTTTATACAAATGCTATTTGTTTTCCAGTAAGGAGTTGCCATTTCCACCTTATTGGTCCTTTTTGTGTACCTTTCCATGCAGTGTTCCCAAGAAGATATATATAGGTATATGAAGAGCAGAGGACCAATTTCCATTAAATAAGCAATGATTGCTTTTATCTTATTACTAACATGATGCATATATATGCAAATATATGTATTTGTTTTTTTGTTTTTTTTTGTTTTTTTTTTTTTTTTGAGACGGAGTCTTGCTCTGTCACCCAGGCTGGAGTGCAGTGGTGCAATCTCAGCTCACTGCAAGCACCACCTCCCGGGTTCACGCCATTCTCCTGCCTCAGCCTCCCGAGTAGCTGGCACCACAGGCGCCCACTACCACGCCTGGCTAATTGTATTTTCAGTAGAGACGGGGTTTCACCGTGTTAGCCAGGATGGTCTCGATCTCCTGACCTTGTGATGCACCCACCTCGCCCTCCCAAAGTGCTGGGATTACAGGCGTGAGCCACCACGCCTGGCCTGTTCTTGTTTTTGAGACAGAGTCTCACTTCATTGCTCATCCTGGAGTGCAGTGGCACAATCACAACTCACTGCAGCTTCAAACTCCTAGGATCAAGCGATCCTCCTGCTTCAGTCTCTTGATTAGCTGGGACCATAGGTGTGTACAACCACACCCAGCTAATTTTTTTTTTTCTTCTTCTTCTTTTTTTTTTTTTTACGAGTCCCAGATACTGTTTAATAACCAAGATACAAACTAATTTTGTTGTAACAAGCCTAGGCCAATTTTATCAAACATGTCCTTGGTTAGATATCCAGTTTCATTTAACGTTTTGAAAGCTCATTTGACAGCCAGTCAAGTCCTTCATACAGACCAGTTCCTTGTGTTGCACAAGTGGCTTGAACATACCATGTTCTGTTACGAAGAGACTGAAGCCCTAGTTTATCTGTCATTTCACTGATGGCCATAGCATTTGGCAAATCTTGTTTGTTTGCAAAAAGCAGTAGCACTGCATCTCTCAACTCATCTACCAGAAGCATTTTCTGCAGCTCATCTGCTACTTCCTGAATTCTTTCACGATCATTGCTGTCCACCACAAAAATAAGACCCTGGGTATTCTGGAAGTAATGCTTCCAGAGAGGCCTAATTCTATCTTGACCACCAACATCCCATACTGTGAAACAAATGTTCTTATATTCTACTGTTTCCACGTTAAAACCAATAGTAGGAATGGTGGTGACTATCTCCCCTAACTTCAGTTTATACAGAATGGTTGTCTTGCCAGCAGCAATCAATCCAACCATCAAAATGCACATCTGCTTCTTGCCAAATAGTCGGGAGAAGAGGGAGGAGATGGTGAGGCCCATGGCGGTAGTGGCACTTGTGATGGGCAGAAGCAGAAGGGGTTTGGGGCGACCCCGTGCTTTCTCCTTTCAAGCTCCCAGGCAAACTAAAAGAGAGGGAAGAGAAAGAGCGGAGGAAGAAAGGGGGAGGCAGGCCCGTCTCGCTGGCCTCTGTGCTGATGAAGCTCCGGCACAGGAATAAGCCGGTAGAGGACCTGCTAGGCGACTGGCGCGGCAGCTCCGGCTCTAGCCTTTAGGATCTGGCTGTGCCACGTCACGCGGCGGCCGCGGCGACTCCAGCAGCGGCCCGGCACCCAGCTAATTTTTACATTTTTTGTAGAGATGAGGTCTTGCTTTGTTGCCCAGGCTGGTCTTGAACTCCTTGGATCAAGTGATCCTCCCACATCAGTCTCCTAAATTGCTGGGATTACATGTATGAACCACTGTGCCTGGCCCATATATTAATAATATAATAAAATATATTATGAAAAATGAGATCTAAACCTATCACCTGGAGGTAACCATTAGCAATATGTTGGTTTATCTTCTTCTTGGCCTTTTTGTACTATGTGTGTGTATCCACAGACATACACACCAAAACCTCCTTCCTTATTCAGTTGGCCTCGGCCATAATGACACTCTTCTATACAGAACTCTCATCCTTTACCTTGAATGCCAGGGAAGTATTTCCTTAGCAGTTTCTTCTCTGATTCCATCCACAGAGGCATAATGAAGAGGAATATAGAGACCAAATCCACCTCAGGAGTACAGGAATACTGAAAGCAACGGAGAGAAGATGGAAATTCTGGTCAGCTGATAACTAGGCCAACATCAAATCAAGGTCACCACCACACAAAATACAAGAAAACTAGTAGTGAGAAGCCATTTTCTTTTCCTTTTAAAACTAAAACAACAGAATCATTATAACACGCAATTATGAGCCTTTTGCAGGGTCTTCTCCTTTATTTTTTTATTTTTTATTTTTTATTTTTTATTTTTGACACAGAGTCTTGCTCTGTCACCCAGGCTGGAGTACAGTGGCATGATCTGGGCTCACTGCAATCTCTGCCTCCCGGGTTCAAGGGATTCTCCCTCCTCAGCCTCCCGAGTAGCTAGGACCACAGGCATGTACCACCACACCTGGCTGACTTTCGTATTTTCATTAGAGACAAGGTTTCATCATGTTGGCCAGGCTGCTCTTGAACTCCTGACCTCAAGGGATCCACCCGCCTCAGCCTCCCAAAGTGCTGGAATTATAGGCGTGAGCCACCATACCCAGCCTTCTTTATTTTTGTTTGGAAACTATTTAGTTTATATAAGAATTCTTAGAGGTTATAAGGCTTTCTGGACTAACTGAAGAGAACAAAATGCCCAAGAGATTCCTGAGGTGTACACCAGACACTATTTGATTCCTTGCTACTGTGGCATGTAGTTCCAGGCACTACTAACAGCCACTCATGCCATGGTGGCTCTGGAAAGTCCAGATATACATTGAAGGCCAGAGAGTTGGGTATTGTCCATCCAGGGTATTGTGAGCCTTCAAACCACTTCTGTCACATAGCTGAAAATATATGCCTTTAGGGTCTTCTCTTCTGCACCTCCTAGGCACTTTTCTCAAACCTATCCAAGGATTAGAATTTGACTTTTCTTTTATTTCTTTCTTTTTTTTCTTTTTTTTTGAGACAGAGTCTTCCTCTATCACCCAGGCTGGAGTGCGGTGGCGTGAACTCAGCTCACTGCAACCTCTGTCTCCCAGGTTCATGCGATTCTTGTGCTTCAGCTTCCCGAGTAGCTGGGATTACAGTTGTGCCACCATGCCCAGCTAATTTTTTTTTTTTTTAATTTTTAGTGTAGACAGAGTTTCGCCATGTTGGTCAGACTGGTCTTGTACTCCTGACCTCAGGTGATCCACCTGCCTCGGCCTCCCAAGGTGCTGGGATGACAGGCATGAGCCACCGTATCTGACCTGAATTTGGCTTTTCTATATGAGACCATGTCTTAGCTTAGGCTGCTATAATAACGTACCATGGACTGGGTGGCTTAAATAACAGAAATTTATTTCTTACAGTTCTGGAGGCTGGAAAAATTCAAGAACAAAGTGTTAGCCAGGCTGGGCATGGTGTCTCATGCCTGTAATCCCAAAACTTTGGGAGGTTGAGGCAGGAAGATCACTTGAGGCCGGGAGTTTGAGACTAGCCAGGACAACATCAAGAGACCCCATATCTACAACAACAAAAATGTATTAACCAATTTGGGTCCTAGTGAGGGCCCCCTCTTGACTTTCAGAAGGTCATCTTCTTGCTGAATTCTCACATGGTAGATGTAGAAAGAGCAGAGAGGGAGAAAGAGAGAGACAGAGAGAGGGAGAGATCTCATATCTTATCCTTTTAAGGGCATTAATCCCAGGATGGGGGCTCCACCCTCATGTTCTCATCTAAACCTAATTACCTGCCAAGGTCCTACCTCCTAATACCATCACATGGCAGGGAAGTGTTTCAGGCTTTAACTTATAAATTTTGAGGGGACACAAATATTTAGTCCGTAACAGATCTCTAAGTAAAATTTCACTGGAAAATTGATTCTGTGGCCGGGCGCGGTGGCTCATGCCTGTAATCCCAGCACTTTGGGAGGCCAAGGCAGATGGGTCGCGAGGTCAGGAGATCGAGACCATCCTGGTCAACATGGTGAAACCCCATCTCTACTAAAATGTAAATAATAATAATAATAATAATAATAATAATAATATAAATAAAAATTAGCCAGGTGTGGTGGCGTGAGCCTGTAATCCCAGCTACTCAGGAGGCTGAGACAGGGGAATCGCTTGAACCTGGGAGTCAGAGGTTGTGGTGAGCCAAGATTGCATCACTGCACTCCAGCCTGGTGACAGAGTGAGACGACATCTCAAAAAAAAAAAAAAAATTGGTTCTATGGTTATAATTTAGCCAACAGAATCCACAGTTTCAGGCAATCGTAATATATCGTTTTTACCCAATCAATTTAAAAATGGCTTATATCATTTTGCTCTAGTACTCTGTTTCATTTTACATTGTTATTGGTTTCTTGCACTTTGGATGTGGTAATTCACTGAACTTCCCCTTTTCCAGGACATTATTGTTTCTGTTCAGCATTAGATGCCATCTTGCATTTCATAGTCTCTATCACCTGATGTAAAAATTACCATTGTCAGCTCCTAGTCCAATAACCTCTTTTACTAAGACCAGGCTCACCTTTCTAACCTTTCCTAAGGTATATTGGGGCATTTTAACTAGAATCAATAGTTTCCAGTATCTGTGTCTCACACCTGGGAGGCAATGGATATGGTCAGAGCCATCTCCCCTCTCTGTGCCAAAGAAATTTATGGGACTGATGGCTGGATCCACAGTCTAAATGATCAAAATGAAGAGCGTTTCCAACCCTTTGTTCACTGGATCCATTAGTAAGAGTGCAGTCTCTTCTGCTCTTGAAACCCATGAGAGGCCAGGCATAGTGGCTCAGGACTATAATTTTCTGTCTCTTTGAGCTGTCTAATATAGACAGTGGGGTATTAAAGTCTCCCACTATTATTGTGTTGGAGTCTAAGTCTCTTTGTAGGTCTCTAAGAACTTTATGAATCTGGGTGCTCCTGTATTAGGTGCATATATATTTAGGATAGTTAGCTCTTCTCGTTGCATTGATCCCGTTACCATTATGTAATGCCCTTGTTTGTCTTTTTTGATTTTTGTTGGTTTAAAGTCTGTTTTATCAGAGACTAGGATTCCAACTCTTCCTTTTTTTTTCTTTTCATTTGCTTGATAAATATTCCTCCATCCCTTTATTTTGAGCCTATGTGTGTCTTTGCATGTGAGATGGGTCTCCTGAATACAGCACATGGATGGATCTTGACTCTTTATCCAATTTGTCAGTCTGTGTCTTTTAATTGGGGCATTTAGCCCATTTACATTTAAGGTTAATATTGTTATGTGTGAATTTGATCCTGTCATTATGATGCTAGCTGGTTATCTTGCCCATTAGTGGATGCAGTTTCTTCATAGTGTCGATGGTCTTTAAAATTTGGTATGTTTTTGCAGTGGCTGCTACCAGTTTTTCCTTTCCATGTTTAGTGCTTCCTTCAGAAGGTCTTGTAAGGCAGGCCTGTTGGTGACAAAATCTCTCAGCATTTGCTTGTCTGTAAAGTATTTTATTTCTTCTTCACTTAAGAAGCTTAGTTTGGCTGGATATGAAATGCTGGGTTGAAAATTCTTTTCCTTAAGAATGTTGAATATTAGCCAGGTGTGGTGGCTCATGCCTATAATCCCAGCACTTTAGGAGGCCAAGGCAGGTGGATCATCTAAGGTCAGGAGTTCGAGAGCAGCCTGGCCAACATAGAGAAATCCTGTCTCCAGTAAAAATACAAAATTAACTGAGTGTGGTGGTGCATGCCTGTAATCCCAGCTACTCGGGAGGCTGAGGCTGAAGAATCTCTCTTTTTTTTTTTTTTTTTTGAGATGGAGTCTCGCTCTGTCGCCCAGGCTGGAGTGCAGTGGCGCGATTTCGGCTCACTGCAAGCTCCACCTCCCGGGTTCACGACATTCTCCTGCCTCAGCCTCCCGAGTAGCTGGGACTACAGGCGCCGCCACTAAGCCCGGCTAGTTTTTTGTATTTTTTAGTAGAGACGGGGTTTCACCGTGTTAGCCAGGATGGTCTTGATCTCCTGACCTCGTGATCCGCCCGTCTCGGCCTCCCAAAGTGCTGGGATTACAGGGTTGAGCCACCGCGCCCGGCCTTGAAGAATCTCTTGAACCTGGGAGGCGGAGGTTGCGGTGAGCCAAGATTGCACCATTTCTCTCCAGCCTGGGCATCAAGAGTGAAACTCCATCTCACAAAAAATAAAAAATAAAATAAAATAAAAAAGAATGTTGAATATTGGCCCCCACTCTCTTCTGGCTTACAGGTTTTCTGCTGTTAGTCTGATGGGTTTCCCTTTGTGGATAACCCAACCTTTCTCTCTGGCTGTCATTAACATTTTTTCCTTCATTTCAACCTTGGTGAATCTGATGATTATGTGTCTTGGGGTTGCTCTTCTTGAGGAGTATCTTTGTGGCTTTCTCTGTATTTCCTGAATTTGAATGTTGGCCTGTCTTGCTAGGTTGGGGAAGTTCTCCCGGAGAATACCCTGAAGAGTATTTTCCAACTTTGTTCCATTCCCCCAGTCACTTTCAGGTACACCAGTCAAACGTACGTTTGATCTTTTCACATAGTCCCATACTTCTTGGAGGCTTTGTTCGTTACTTTGCATTCCTTTTTCTCTAATCTTGTCTTCATGC